CGTTTTTCAAAGATAGCCTAAAAAAATGTTTTAAAATAATTTTTTGATTATTATTATAATGCTCTTTCTCCAAGTGGCAGACATCTCATTAATCTCATGCTGGCTGTTGAAACTGGAGAAAAACATTTGAATCGAATGTATCCTTTGAAGGTGTGAGGGGCAATGTCAGATACACGGCAGCATTTTAAAATGATACTACTAGACTCAGGGTTTCTGTCTCCTCTCAATTACTCTCTCTCTGTACTGATAACTATATAGCCCTGTGGTGCCTCCAGAATAAACTTCAACCAATTCACACCAATCTGCTGAACTCAGCAGGCCTGGGCAGGGGAAAATGGACCTCTACTGTGCGCCTGCAGGCTGCTGAACAGCAGAGGATGAAGGACTTCAACTCATTCAGGCTGTTCAAACTCTCTGTGTCACACTTGCTCCTTGAATTCATGTATGCGAATAGGCATTTTATGTCTTCCCTGATATATGCAATTTCTTTAACTTGAGAGCTTCTCTTCTGCGCTTCGGTGAAATCACAGGTTGGGTATCTGCCGAGATTGCTTGGAATTCAAGACAAATGCCAGCATAACAACTGGGTATATGGTTTCCTGTGTAACCACTGCTGAGTCGTAAGATAAGATAAAATGGTACTTTATTGATCCCAATTTGGTTGTGTTATCACAGCCAAAGAAGCAAAGATGCCCTGAGAGAGCAAAACCAGCTATGCAATAAATATGCTGATTAAAGGAAATGAAATTATCATAGGTAATCAATTGTACATTTTACTTCCAAATCTCATCGCTATTAATCTCTGACAGTCTCAGGCCAAGGGGAATTATCCCTTTTGTGGTAAATTAACAAATCAAATGAAAATGCCTCATTGATTTGATGCCAATAAATCAAGTTTAGGCTTAAGAATTCCCTCTGGGTATAAGTAAACTAATTTATTTTCTTCTTATGAAAATGCAGCCAGGCGGTTTCCAAGTGCTATCAGCTATCGTCTCACCGCTCCTTGCATACTACACTATCGGTACCAGCTAGCAGAGGGGAGTCGGAGCTGGTCTTTGCCAGAGAAATGGGCCACGGATACTAAGCAAATGGAGATGGATGGGGCTCATGTGCAGAGCAGCAGACAAGCTGTCCCTGATAAATGGGTTTTCACCAGGACACTTGATCCCTCTCGCTCTCAGCCTAAAAAGCAATCTCACACTTTACATGTCTGTGAATATTAACAAACCCTCAAACCCCACACTCAAATGTCATCTATTGTGTCGCACATGGTGCCAGGCAAGAGAGACAATTTGATGGAGAGGACTGTTCCTCTGTGTGTTTGAAATAGAGTCAGGAGGGGGAGGTAGTGAGGGGAGAGAAATCCTGCTCTCTTTTCAAAGGTCCATCAACACAGCACAGGTATCGTACGGCTGTTCTTTCAAAGCCCCGTGAAATATTGCTGCTGCCAAGATTCACAGTAAACTTTGTCAAGGTCCGTCAGTGCTGTATTTTATAGAATAGATTTTCCAATGATTTCTTTTTAATTCAACCTTGAGTCTGATCCTGTATGTTTGATTATACAGTATGCTTGTTAACATACTGCTCTATTAATGCATTACAGTGACTGCAGAATGTTGGTTCATTACGGAAGTCTGAACACTGTTGAGTAATGTATTTTCTCTGAGCTGGACTGAGCTCACTTAAGCTTATATATTATCCGACATTTCCCCGGACACTGTATCAGGAACTGTGGCTGTCAACATGCGACGTGGCACAGGGTTAATCCCACTGTCCAACATGGACAGATATAACATTATACTTCCTTGAATTTTGCAGCTAAAGTGTGTAGGAGAGTCATCCTCCCGCCATCATTCTCTTTATCTCCTCCTCTCCAGTCAGAGTGACAGGTTGACCCATATGAACCCTCTGTCATTGCTGCGGCGCCTCGGACCTCTCTGCATGGCCCCTGGAGATCAGCGGCATATGGTACTGATGCTGAGGGCTGCAGGCTGATCTGGGGACGATAACCCAGGACAAGTGCAGCACGCGCAGGGAGATGCTATCCAGGAGCCTGAGCCCCTACTAGTCCAAGGTCATGATGACTTAAACCAGGTTTGAAAATAATTAAAGTAGTGAAATTCGGTTAGGTGCTTGATTAAATCAAAACATAGAAAAATGACAGAGTAAAGTCTATTAAAAGAAACCCCATATTCTGTGGTTTCCTGAAACATGATCCTAGGGCAACATCTTTAAATAATACAAATGAGATGGTAATTAAGTGACCAAAGGTGGATGTGAAACCATAACGCTCTCATCTTTATAGCACGTTCTAGAGAAGATGGTGCTGCCAACATCTATTAGTATATCCATCCAGCTCACCACTGCACAGAATCGGCAAGGACTGCATGTGCCCCTTGTAGTCCGCAAGAACATCCACCTCCTACATAACCGCCCACGTTTCCCGATAAAGAGCCACGAGGAGCTGCCATGCAACACTAAATGCGCATCTCTGGTATGTCATCTTCTGCTGTTTTTTTCACAACCGTAAGAATCAAAACAAATCCACGGCCTCAACATGAAAGATAAGAGTCTTGTTTTTCCAATCATTGGTATTTGGTTTGAAGCTATACCTTTGACCATGTCCAGATCCAAACTAAAGCACTAACAAGAGATATGCACTTCACCAGCAAGTTATGGTAATGATCAAACTGAAATCAGAATTACCTGTTCATGTTCTACCACAGGATAAAGTCACGTCAACAAAATGATATCATTAGAATATAAAAACATCTCAGGAATAGGGCTGCTATATATACAGTATCACAAATATATCGATATTTTGAGACTTAAAACGGAACCTTTTTTTGATTTTCGATACGGGAAGTTTTGCTTTTCCTGGTTTTTAATGCTGCCTTACAGCAAAGTTATGTAATGTATTTTCTGACCTTACCGGACTGTTTTCTTATTTGCCTTTGCCAACTTTGTTATATACCAATAGTCAACCCTACAACAACACTGACGCAATCTTGGGGTATTTTTAAAAATACATTTAAAAAGAAAATTGTACACATATTGCCTGGCCCTACACAGGAATCTCAGTCATAGTAGCTTGAGAAAACAAACTGTCCTGCTCATTCTCAAAATAAACATAAAGCCACTGCAACACAATGAAATACATTCTTGTACACAATCATTTACAGAGTGCTAAAATTAGCCTCCAGTATGCAGACTGTGACTACACATACCAATGAACAAGAAAAAAAGAGTTAACAGAGCAAAACAAATCAGACAGTTTAATGCTTTGCCATTAGGATAGTCTTTTTCAGTTTTAAATATAGCCGCATACAACACATCCCACCTTTTTGCCATTCCTCACACATGAGTCACAGACGCAGCCAGAAACTGTGGCTACGAGCTCTTGCAAAAGACAAATGTGAGCATGAAACTGTGATGACAGGTATGTCCTGGAATGCTTGTGACCTGAAAATCAGGAATTCCAATCTAAAAAGCTCATCGAACGAGACTCGCATTGATGTCAGATTGCACTCTGTCTGCACCAGTCCGCTGAAGTCTTTCAGACTGCCTGGACTCTGAGATCAGAATGAATGGCTCCTCCCTTTAATGTGAAACATCATTCACTTGACAAATCCCTCAGAGAAATATCTTGGCAGGGAATAACTTTTCCACTGCAAGATGCCAAATCCCAGGGGACCAGGGTGTCATATGGTGCTATTTGAGAGTGCCCACTGTGATGATGATTTTGCTGGGCTGCCAGATCCTGCCCTCTGCTGTGGCATTGATATGTGTTTTCTTTCCCCTTTGTGAGCAACACAGAGAGAGAAAGCTAAGAGGTACGATGAGAGAGTGGGTGTTTGGGACAGGACCCATCTGTCCCTGCCCCGTCCCACAGAGCCATGGACTAGGCCAGACCAGGCAAAGTCTAGCCGGACACGGTCAGCTGACACACCGGGGCTTGGATGGTAAAAAGCAGGATGCTCTAATTAAGCCTATGCTGTTTCTCAACTTTCTCTGCATGGATACCATCATCGCAGTTTGCTAAAGGGTTGTGAGTCACGCTTCACGAGTGGAGAGCCATGGACACTTGCTACAGGGGGGGTGTAGCAGGGGCGCGTCCTGTCCTGAGAGTACTGAGCCTGCAGCGTGCCGATAAGAAAACAACACAACCCTGGACAAGCAGGCCTGATGGACAGAAACAGCACCGCTACAGGGCTCTGACATTTCAGGGAAGCTATGGTGCTGACAACTCTCTTTGTTTTCTCCCAGAAATCGACATTATGAACAGAAGTCTGTCTGGTAGTGAGAAATTGCTGTGTCATTAAGCTGAAATGAACACATCAGTGGGAATATTGTCCATTTAACATGGTGACACTAATAAATTCATCACCAAATATCCTCGACTCACACACTCTAATATAAAATGAGGGGTGATTCAAAAATACGGCAGGTGTAATTACCATGTGCAATAACGAGCAGTGGGGGGGAGTGACGGCGTGCTTTTCTCTGCCAGGGTAGATTATAGATTGTGGTAATTGTGATTCTGCCTTAATTATGGATGTAGTACTTCCACCCAACAAGCAAAGTCTCCAACACATATTTCCAGTATGTTAACTATGATTGCAAACATCAGGAACATCGATAAATGTTTGTAATTACATTTTGGGTTTTTTATAATATAAATTAATTATAGAAAGATTTCCTTGATAATAATAGTACTAATTTGTTTTAAGCATCAGCAAAATGAAAGATTTTTGATATGCTCTAAAAGATAAAAGTGCACAGATAGATAAGCTTTACATTCCTTGGATGTAACGCCTTTTTTCCAACAGGACCCCACTCAACTAGCTGTATCAGGCAAACCAAACCCCTCACTACTTCTCACCAATAAATAAATCATTCCAAGGGATTGTTTTACTGACTTTTTAGGTGTTTTACTTATCAAACTATCACGCAACAAAAGAAAGTGACGGACGATGTCAAGGTGAATTTGCAGGACGTACCCATCCCTGTTGTCCTCCTCGTCCGGGTTCGAGATGAGCTGGGATCCAGCCAGGGAAATGTCCATGCCGGCCAAAGGTAGGTCTCTGTAGGCGAAGCTGACCAGCTGGACAGGGGCCTGGTTGTCCTCCTCCACCTGCTGGGAGATCACCTCCAGCTCCGAGACCCTGGACTTTGGAGGAGCCCTAGAGTCACACACAACACAACCAGAGCAGAATTAGTATCAGTGCGTTGTGTCGTTTAGCATCTTTGACCTCATTATATTTTAGCTAAATTGTGTGTGTGTGTGTGTGTGTGTGTGTGTGTGTGTGTGAGTGTGTGTGTGCGTGTGCGTGTGTGTGTGTGTGTGTGCGTGTGTTCACCCTGTGTATTATTGTTAAGCATCAAGGTACAAGGATATTTGGAAGTGTGCTGTTTATTTGAATTACCTAACGAACCTACTTGGGTAATGCTCTGGGTAGCAGAGTGTGATAATAACTACTGGGACTGTGTTTAATTTTGATGAATGAAAACACAAAGATGGTGTGAAATGATCTCCTTGCAGTGTTTCCTGGCACCCTCATCAAGCGGCACATTTACCTGGCAAGTCAATTCAAACTGATCTACATTTTCAGCAGTGAAGTAATTTCTAAGCCACAGTAAATATTGCAATGTGTATTCCACATTTGTGGAAACATTTATATTTTCTTTGACAAAAAAATATTAAGATGTCAGATTAAACTACAAATCACAAATACTTCTTTAACACTGCTTTCCAAGGCACTCATTATTGTTTTCAAATGGTTTTCCAGGCAGCCATTGGCTTTCATTCAGCAATACAGAGTCATATTCAAACTAGAAACTTTTTTTGAGATGAGAGATTTGTTAGTGAACAGTTTTGTGCATTTGCTTTGTTGCCAGCAGTTACCTTTTTAAAAACTCTCCCAGGTTGTGCACCATGCACTCAAGGATGCTCAAAAACGTGTTATTTCAGAATTGATTGCCAACCACACTGACAATTTTATTTTTACATAATCCATTATTTAGCATTTCAAGTTTAATGAATGTGCAAAACATTATCAGTTGATTGCATGACTGTTTTCACGTTTTCTATTATATATATATATATATATATATATATATATATATATATATATATATATAATAGTAAACTTAATGGAAACCAATGGCTGCTTGAAATCAATATGATAAACTGTTGCATGGGTACTATCATTCTAAGGAAACAAAGTAATTTACTAGCGAGATAAATGACACTAGAGGGCACACAAAGTTTGTTTCTTTGTTAGGTTAGCTTTATTTTGCAGAACCAGACAAATTGTCATTGTATCTGCCATTGAAGTCCTGAGACCTAAATGCGCAGGGGGGGCCTGTGATTCTTCGAGCTCAGCCAATAGCAGCCAAGGTGAAGTCACCCTGGCACAGGAGTCTCACACAGCTTGGCAGTCGGCCCAGTGCAGCCAGTGTGGAGACATCAATAACTCCAGTGCTTAACAGTGGAGGAAGGCATTGATTACAAGACAGAGGGAACAAAGACCACTGGCTTGTTGAATTCTACAACCTCTATGCTGGAGGTGAAGCAGAGTGGGAGGAGACGGTTAGAAGAAGATCACCGAGCAATCTGATAAAAGTTAATGTAGGCAGGCCTGCAAAGGAAAATAGGTCTCTCTTTATCCTGACTTACTTCTTGACTAATAGCTGTTTAATGGACTCCGTTGAAAGGTTATTTTGTTATTACCACAGAAAACCAAGAATCACTTGAACTATATTGTTTTAAATATATAGTCTTTGGTTTAGTGATGAAAACTCTTACTATCTTGTGCTCACTACATAAAATGCCTTACCCTTCCTCCTTTGAAACGTGTAATGCATGTCCTGCTGGATGTGTTGTTTAGCCTGAGGGTCACCAATATATTTACATGCTTGCCACAAAACACGCCTGTGCATCCCAGTGTTATCTGTGCATCCCAGTGTTATCTGTGCATCCCAGTGTTATCTGTGCACTAGGCACCTCTGACCAACCGCAACAAGGACGCTAATCAGTCATGACAGACACAAACTGTTTAGTGCATCAAATTCACATTTCCAGACAATCACAGAGCTGGCCAGGAGCCATTATGTGCAGAGCCCAGTGGAGTGGCTGGTTGCCATCCTGGGGAGGGAGTGGAGGCTTCACATCGGAACACCCTGCTCTTTTCAACAATGCAGCCAGGACGCCAAGAGGAAGCACAAAGGTTAACATAGAGCATTCATGGCTGGAGGGGCAATCTCACACCCATACTGAGCAAGAGCCGAGGCTTATCATGAAGCTCAAAAGGGGCAAAGAAACATGTTCTATTAAAGTTAATGTTTCTAAATGCATGTCTGGTTTTGATTAACTGTATATTGTATTGTTCTTATTATACTGTTCTTCACAAAAAGAACAACTTCAACCGGTTGTCCTGATTCAATGCATTGTAAAACATATAATACGTTCTTAGGAACTTATAGCATTGGAGGTTTGTTTTTTTGAGGACTATTGTAGTTTAAAACCCAATTTGTGTCTTTAAGGAGGTCTATATCCTCCTTGTATCTAATTATTGCCAAGTATTGGCTCCTCCAGAGTAAAAGTGATACATAGTTATTTTTACATAATCAATTATTTAGCATTTACATTTCTTAAAAACAAAGTTCAATGAAGGTGCAAAACATTATGATTTAATTACATGACTGTAATCACCAATGGTTTCTATTTAACAGAACAGTAAACGTAATGGTAACCAATGGCTGCTTGAAATCAATATGATAAACTATTGCTCTACAAAACAGAACAACTTCAATCGGCAGTCCTGATTCAATGCATTGTTCAAAGATATAGTACGTTCTTAGGAACTTATTACATATGAAATTAATTAGTTTTTTGGAGGACTATGGTAGTTAAAAACCCAATTTGTGTCTTTAAGGAGGTCTATTTCCTCCTTGTATGTAATTATTGCCAAGTATTGGCTCCTCCAGAGTAAAAGTGATGCACAAAACATGCTGGAAAACTGGATGGTTGCCGATGTATTAAAGTGCCCTTGTGGTATGTACCAATTTAATTTAGTGTTGTTATTTTTCTTTAATGTAAAGTGAAGTAGTTGTCCTGTGTATATATGTATTGCTTTTGGCTCTATGTCTTCATCCTATGTATGTGATTTTTTGTAAGCTGAAAATCAATAAACATATTGATAAAAAAGAAAGAAAGTGATGCATAGTTATGCCCCCAGCATTTTTACATCACTCACTATAAATCACCATGCAGCGATCAATAGATATATAAAGATATAATAGCCTGCTGTGATCACTCCTTTCCAGTTCTAACTTACACAGTTTAGTGCCATTTGTCACAAGACAAGCTATTATGAATATTCTCCTTGAATACAAAACTAAGAAAATGTGTCATAAGGTAAACATGATTTAATGTTTTATTTTCTAGAAGCATTAATTTGACTGCACCCTTTTCAGTTACAGTAATGTGTAACTGAATAGCAGCCACCATTTGGAGATACTCTCCATTGAAACACATTCAAGAACGCCTTTTTCCACTAGGACATTTGAAATAGAAGCATATTCTTGGCAATCCTCATTGGTTCCATATATCTGAAGTTAAAATGAATTTCAATTGTAATCTATTCTAGCCTCGGTTTTTCTGCAGCCATCCGTAAGAAAGGTACTCCAATCCCACTGAAGTCCAATACTGCTGAACTCAGCAGGAGTAAAACAAATGTTATCTTTTAACTCTGAATACTAACACCAGCAAGCATAAAGAAGGCTCAAATGCTGACGTGAGATACATTGAGAGGGAATATGTAACTCTCAGGGTTTTAGTTTGGGCTGCTTTAACCATGAGTCTTTTCATAGTATAATGTGAAGTTAAGGCTATAATTAAAAAGTGTTGAATCATTTATTTATTTTTCAGGACATGTATGCGATGAATGTGTTCAAGCTCTATTCATATTTAGTATTTTGCGTATTACTTTTGTTATTTAGATGAACAGCCCCAGGTTTTAAGACAAGTTTGAGATGACAAACATGACAACAACCAAACAGAGCATAACAAATACATATTTGATCAAGGTGATAAGGGGTAAAACTGATGCCTGTCACATTATATCTGAAATCACCTATTCTGAGGATATATTTTCTCCTCTTGTCACATCAGTGGATGTTAAAGTGCTGCCTCAGCATGAACTTGTGGTTTGCAGAGGGCATTAGTATCATTGTCATTCTGAGTGCTCACTGCCACAAGTATTTCTGGCCAACTGTCTACAACCCATCCGCTCTGTCTCTATGTTTGTATAGGGACACTTGGCTACTCTTCGCTGCACAGCAGTCACTGCCCTGGTATTATCAAGGAAGCAGGACCAATGTGCCAAATCACTTATGTGGACCTCTTCCAGATTTCAAAGCAGCATCTTTCGGAGGCTTTGGGAGGCCAAGGGGAAATGACAGCAGTTCACAATTCAACTGCATCGACAGAGTGAATGTTTTTTATTGTTCTTTGGAGTCTTTTATGTCCATATCACCTCTATTAACAGGCAGCAAGGAACAAGTCATCCTGAGCAACAGTGTGGCTCATTGATGTGTTTTTAATAGCCTTTGGACAACAAAGGAAGTCCACTGCACAGAGGAATAAGACTAGTACAATATATCAGGTTTTGGCTACACAGGTAGTGCCTACTGCCTAATCACTTTTTTTTCAATTCTAGAAAAGGAAATCACTAAATTATACTTAACGATTTAATGATTTTAGAAACTTCCACTGAATAATTCTAAAACTCTACACCATGACACACTACACATTAACCTATTTACAGTATACTGGAAATGTAGTGTATAGCATCCAATGCTTCTTATTATACTAGAAACCAAGCAACATTAACACAGATTTTATCATAAAAATGGATTCATATATTTCTTCAGTAAATGTGTCATAACTGCAATTCCTAATGTTAACACAGAAGATAAAAACATCTGAATGACACAATTAGAAATAGAAATAGCTGCTCAGCAGTGACGAGCTAATCAACAGTCTTTATTCTAGTGATTGCAGAGAGGACTCATTATAGAGAAATTAGAGAGCAGCGGGGCATTGGATCAGGACTCAGAGGTTAGTTGCAGTAAATGTTAGCTGACCCGTTTCAAAGCCACTGGGTGTGTGATGTTGGCTGAATGAGAAATAAAGAACAGCTCTCAGGCCAAACAGTAAGAGCACTGCCTCATCAGTGTTTCTGAATCATTTGTTCTAAAAAGTATGCTTGCAAGGCTATCAATCTGTGCATTTACCATACTGTTTTTAATGTAAATGATGATGGTTCAGAAGATGTAACAGTGTTTCCCCCCTAAATTGTTACATGAAATTTGCTAAATTAATCCTTTTGAATTTGTTGTGTTTGATCATCTAATATTTCCCCTATCCTACCTCCCACTGTTTCCACAGCAAAGATGCTACATGGCTAAGGAGAGAGAGAGAGAGAGAGAGAGAGAGAGAGAGAGAGTATGCAGGAGAGAAAGAAGGCGGATTTACAGAAGCATCAAGTCAAGAGAGCAGGCGTGAAAATAACTCCTAAAAAATCTCTCTCTGCACGAGAGTTTCCCATCTGTCACTTCACAGAGAGTCACTAGCATTCAGTAGAATTGGATCATGCCTTTGTACTAACCACTCTATTTCTGGTTACAGATGTTTTACACCAACAAAACACAACATCTGCACTAATGTGCTGGTCTGAGGCCGGGACAGAGCTATGTGCTAGTTGGAAGCAGCATCCTGTGCCTTTAACCAGAAGATGCAGCTGACTGAACCCATTTTGCTTTCACCCTCCACCCTACTCCACTCCACCTCCTCCACACTCCATTCCCCCTGCTCCTTCTTCCCCATTCTCTTAGCCCCAACCCTGGCTGTCATCAGAATGCAGGGGGCTGTCTGGAGGACCACACACAGAGTAATTATTAATAAGAGAAGATGACAAGTGAACATCCATGCTAAGAGATGCCAGTGGAGACTGGAGATGGCAGGCCGCTCTCTCGCTCAATCTGAGGAGCAGGACGAGGCCAGGCTCCGCTTTCCAGCTGATCCCTGTTCAAAGTCATTCACAGGAGGTCCCATTCTGATAATCATACCTTACCACGCTGAGACTGCTTGTTCTTTAACAGATATTTCAGAACTCTATCAGATATGTAACAAACAAGGTTCTGGCTGGTGTTATACTTACTGGGGGTTGCTCATGTTGAGGTCCTATGTTGAAGATAGACGTCCACACTAAATGACCCAAAGTGTGAAATGTGATTTCACCACTCCAGAGACCTGGCTCCTTCCAAACCTATAGCAAATATGAAAGAACAGTTTAATTACTGCAGAAAAATGAAATCATGAAGCAAATAATGGGCAACGTCCATCTGCTGAGGGAGAGCAAAATATATAATGGGAACAGCTTTTTGCCAGCTGCCGTTTCCAAGATAATTAAATAATCTCAAATCTTTGTAGAGTTTAGTATAATAACACAAATGCATTTTAAAATGATCAATGAAGTATTAGTGCTTGTGCCTTTCCTGAAGGCGCCCTGTCCTGACTTCAGCTTTAGATATGCTCTGTTCAACTATTTTCCTGGGCAGCACTAAACTGTAATAGATTTGAAATCTCCTTCAATATACGCTCCGCTCTGTGGATCAGGGGCTGAGAACCTCACACCTCTTGCATAGCAAGTAAAGCAGGATGCTATGCTCTTTGTGCCACCGGATAGAGAGCCATTGATGTCCAGGTCCGCTCACTGAAAACTCTCTCCAGCTGCTTTGCAGGGACAGACATGGAATGAGCACACAGGGAGGACACAATCATAGCACATGCTTTAACAGGAAACGTCCACTATAAAAAAAGAGTTATGAGTATTGCAAAGTTAAAGTAACACTTAAATGATCCTCCCAGGAGATGGAAATAACTGCAATGATTATATTTTTGCATTGTTGTTTGAATTTTCACAATATTTCATGGAATTGGGATAGAGACAGAGCAAACATCTCCAGCAGTGGAGAGGTACGGAGTCAGCAGCTGCAGCAGACCACAGCAGAGTAATGTACTGAAGCACAGCAGATGAAATGCTACTCAGGATAAATTAACCCAGGTCATCCACGGACTGAGAGTGATACTGTTTCACTGCAGCACCCCCTATACATGTGGTATTTATAATAAAACAAAAACGATATTGATTTGGCTATCAGAAAGTCACACAGGCAGAACACAAGATGCTTCACTTTCTGCAAGGAATCACTGTGGATGAAGGATTGAGCATTTGTTTCTGTCTGTGATTTAATGCAAAGTATTTCTGGACCTGAACATACATCAGGGAGATTGAATAACAATCAACATCTTGAGCTGCCTCTTATTAATATAAGTACAGGCTACAGTCAAGTGCTCCATCAGTGGAGGTGGCTGTCCACAAGGCATGCTATTTTACTATTTCATATAATAACACACGCACTGTGGACCATCTGTGTCCATGCTTTCTGCAATTCACCTAATCAAGAAGCACTTGCAATAATTCCCCCACCACGTCGTAGCTATATAAACAGTTATAGAGATGTTAACATTTTCCCACGGAGGCCACACAGTCTTCTTTTTGTTCAAACCAACACAAAATGCATCAACTACACAGCGCGCTTTAAATCCACACTGACTCGAAAACACAAGACGCACTAACCTCTTATGTTTTCTACATTGTGTAAGTGGTCGTGACTCCTTTGCCCTCGCGGTGATGATGGTAATATCTCCCTTCTCGCCGATGATGGTTATGATGATGATCAGTGTGAAGGATGCTCGGATCTCGCTGTGTGTAGGCTGCGATTCCCCTCAAATCTGCGTTGGCCGAGCAGCACCCGTATCGCCTCTCAGAAGACAGCGCAGCACGAAAACACCTCCTCCGGACTGAAAGCTGCATCGTTCAGAGGAGACGACGAGGCTGCCACTGGATCAGCAAGGTAACCCCTTCTCGGGAGGGAGGCATGATGTTCTGGCAGGGCTTCCCACTACACTCACACCAGGGACTCCATGTGCCCGATAATAAGAGAAGAGGTTCTCGATCAGGAGCTGTCCAGGGGCTGAACACGGGATTCCAGCGGCTACATGTGTCAAACAACGCCGTGACCGCGGAGGGAAACAGGGCGAGATTTACACACACATCACACACACCACACACACACACACACACACCACACACACACACACACACACACACACCACACACACACACACACAACACACACACACACACTAACACACACACACACACACACACACACACACCACACACACACACACACACACACACACACCACACACACACACACACACACACACACACAACACCACACACACACACACACACACACACACACACACCACACACACACACACACACACACACACACACACTAACACACAACTAATATCACATATTATGTAGTAGCCTATATATTCCTATCAAACCATGGGAGCCTGCAGACATCACTCTTTCTATGCCACCGTCGAAGTAGAAAAAACACTCGCTTCACTTTCAACCTCTTGAGCTTTCAGAGTTTCCTCGCGATACAACAACCCACCCGCGCGAAAACAAAACCACACCACTACTCTGACAGTGACCTCAAGTGTTTCTGTGGTGTGTTAACTGATATATGTAATGCTATTTATCAGGATGCAGCGTCACCGATATTCCCACGTAGCCCTGCTGACATTATATAATTGCATCCTAAAAATGTAGCGCAGGCATAGGGCCCGGAAACACCGAGAGAGGGGAAGAGGAGAAACGATGGCAAGTTGGCAACATATCTGTGTTGTCAGTGATATTAAAATATGCTAGCATAGATACCCTTTATAGATGGTGTTGCATACTGGCATTCATTTACAGATGATTCAGAAATCCGTTGCATTAAAATGCAGAATCTTTTGGGCTGTCAGGATATAAAAAAAACCTTGTGTGTTGGGATGTTTATCTTCTCTGTTTGGTTACAATGCAGTGATGAAAGTAAATAATTCATCCATTGATGCTATGAGATTCTCCCTATCAAATAAACATCAAGTCTGCAGTTATACACACTTATTACTTTTGTTTATTCATGTGTGGTAAAGAATGTGTACAATAGTGTAGTCTTGGCAATGTTAATAAGTAAACACATGAATTTTGGTCCAGATTTCCCACAGATGTTTTCAGGAGGGTATAAGTGGTCCATCAAGGTAGTCTTTGTGTTGGACTTTGGAGTTAAGATGGAGAAAGTTTTATGCTTGTGACAAACACCGGACAATATCATATTTACCAATACCAACCCATAAGTTATTGTTATTTAGTTCTTATAACTAAAGTGTAGTTATTGATTTTTTTTAACTTTCATTTAGTCATTAGTTTGAATAACACAAACCTTATAAAACTGATGTTAAACTATAACCAACATTATTGTTTAAATTAAATGTAACTATTGCATGTCAATGAGGTCCTTAGCCTTCTTATAACAAAAATGTACACGTTAAAGAGAAATATCGCTTATTGTTTTTAGCATCTTCGCAATTATGCATATTATGCAAAAAAAGCCTATACCCTGATTGCACAATATCTCAAAACAACACTATGTGTTACCAAGAAAAAAGCAATGGCCATTTACTCAAGAAATGTACTATACGTTTTTGAAATACTGAAACTTTATATAAGTATTTGCATTATATGGTACTCTGTAATAATAAAACACTACATTTATTTAAAAGCTGTGGTTATTTGTTAGTTTTTAATCAAGATTTTAGATGGAATAGTTCATTCAATAGTATCCATTGTTAAAGAGATTGACTACCAAAGGTATTATGTGATATTTATATAACTAAAATAGGCTGCATATTGACAAACGAAAACATCGGTTTACTTCTCGCATATAAATACATCAACAATAATGACCCAATAATATAACAATGAGATATGCGTTGCATCATGAAACGTTTAGTTTTTTTTGTTGAAGTATATATTGTTTCCAATACCTTGTTGTCACAATACATTTACTTATTACTAATGCAGGACATTTACTTATAATAGTTTAACTTCATACTTAGGTGTTGCTATTTTTACTTCTGGTCACTGGAATGTAGTGAGCAATTCAAAATGATTAGCTAATGGGTCAACTAACGGTTCTGAGCGCCCAACTGTAATTATCTGTCTGAAGGTTGTTTTTAGACTTCAAAAAAGTTCCCACGATTCCATTCATGCCTTCTTTACATACCAGTCATTCAGCTGTTTCTGAAACCCAAACACGTTGAGCTCATATTCACAACAAGTGATTTCATGAGCAATCCTCTGCCTGATCTGATGCAACTAAACCTCAGAGAACAAAAACGAAATGTACTCAGTTTTAACCTGAAACAAAGATGTCAAACCGACTCCTGTAAGGCTTCTTTAGGCCTCTGGTGAGTCTGTATGTATTGCTCACATGCCATTAAATGACACCATTTATGACACACACAGACAAATTACCTACACTCACTGACGTTTAGCTTGCCATTTACAATGTGGACAAACTGCAATCACAACATTTTTAAGCCAAGGGAGGATCACACCCACATAACATCGTCTTCAGAAGTCCAACAAAAAGCAGTTAGGAGCTATTGTGAAGCGTCACTATGAATCACCTCAGGAACCTGCACTAACTACCAAAAGCAGGACTTTAAGGAGCTGGTAAGAACATATTTCTTGATTCATTTTCAGTCAGGGTGATGATATATTCCACTCATAACGTAATAAGTTAATGATGTAATTTAGCTTCAAGAAACTGTTAGTATATTTATATATGCATTTCATGCTTTTCTAAGTGGTTACTTTATTTTTCGGAGACATATGTTTCTTGTGTTCTCAGGAAACAGTGATAAAAAGCATTCCAAATGATGGCAGGTAATAAAATAACAAAAAACTGATCAGAAGAAACAACACATCTTCTAAAAGAGTGACTATTGAGATCTATTAAAGCTATTTTACCTGAAATGATGTAATTCTGTCTGTGTAGATCATGGAACCCCTTGTGATGGGCAGGAAGCCACCTATTGCATGAATGGAGGGACGTGCTATAAAATACGCGATGCCATGAATACTCTCTCCTGTGTGTAAGTTGAATGAATCTTATCTTGGATGTAAGAATGAGTCTTCAGGAACCATGTTGGAAAATCTGTTGTTAGAAAATGGTATTATTGTCGATACTTTTCCTATGTGCTGACAGTCTCCCTATGTTTTTTTCCTAAATCAGTTGCAATGAAAATTATAAAGGCAGCCGATGTGAGCAGTTCCAGCTCTTCAGCAGTTCCGGCAAAGCAGGGGAAGCGGGGTTAATCGCAGCTGTGGTCATCGTTGTCCTCCTCATCTTAGTGGTGATAGCTGTTGTGATCTACTACACACACAAGTAAGTACAGTATGGATGTATGATTGCAAAACGTTCTCACGGCGTCTAAAAATATCACTGAGACGTGGAAGAGTTTTTTTGTTATACAGTATTTGCTATTATTGTACTTAAGCCAGAATGTTTTCTTTTAAAGATTATAACCATCCATTATATCCTCACATAGGATGTTGAAAGCCAAGCAACAGAGCCAACAGAACAAGCCCAAGACAGAATATTGGAAAGTACAGTCCAGAGTTTGACTTTCTTCTGGAGCAAATGTGTGTCGGGTGGGATAATGAAGGACTTCTCAGAGATGATACTGTTTAGGGTGTCATGATAAGACCAAAAGAACAAAGGAAAAACTGCTTCTCTGACCTTAACTAAAGTCAAGGTGAAGAGCTGATCAATGGTCACCTGAGATATCTGGAGTCCATGCTGTTTGCTACAGACAGGTGTAATTCTTCAACACACAGACGGGGTGTGAAACAAGTGTGAGCAGGTGGGAATTGAATCACATCTTGCACAGTAGATTTTTTCAGCACCGCTATGAAAGTTGCCATTGGTGTTACTCGTGTTGAATCACATTTCAATCTATGTACTTTGCCTGAAATGTATTTACAAAGCATGGTTGGACTATGTAAAATATGAGCTTGAAATATGGATTTATGAAATGACCCCTTGTATCAAGTAATGAATATGCTCAGTATGCAGTTAGTAAATATATGCAATGACCCCTACCCTTGACTGTGTGATTTCTGCACACACACACACACACACACACACACACACACACACACACACACACACACACACACACACACACACACACACACACACACACACACACACACACACACACACACACACACACACACACACACACACACACACACACACACACACACACACACACACACACACACACACACACACACACACACACACACACACACACACACACACACACACACACACACACACACACACACACACACACACACACACACACACACACACACACACACACACACACACACACACCCACACACACACACAATAGTTTGTTAGTCTTTCAATATTGATGGACCTCCAGTTTTATCTACAGCTGCCAACAACAACATGTGAAAGAAAAAAACAAAATGTATGTTTTGGTAAAATTCTCAACATCATTTATAAACTAGTTTTGCAGCACACTTATACAGGCATTGAAACCGGAAACTGTCCATTTTCTTCAAAGACAAAGTCGGGATTGTATTTGTGATTGAAGTCAATTTTAACACTTCGCAAAGAGTAAAATCCCTTTTGATAAGAGTTTTAGGTCAACACACAACAGGGTTTTTCCCAAAGCATTTGAAGTTGTTATGGGGAAATATCTGTTCAGGATGGACCCAAGAAATCACTACGTGTAACATGGAGATTTTTGCGGTGGACCATGGTACTTTAAATGGCCAACGGTCTCTTTCCATTGTGAAAGGTTGTTATTTTCGCTTCAAATGCAGAACAATATATATTTACATATTTTTGTGTTAGTTTTTAAAAGATAGATATACATAAACCCTTGTATTAGGCCAACAAACTGATACCACGAGCCAGTGAGGTCTTTTTGCTATGGCACATAGGAAACTGCTTCCACCTAGTGGCAACTTGACATATTTGTAAGTTTAATATTTATTGAATTTCAATAACATCCTGTGAACTGTTTTTTATAGAGTTATTAAAATGTCATGTATGGGTTTGAATACTTTTCGGTGAAATATAAACATGTCTGTAAACAACTTACTCTTAGAGTCTTTTGGCTTTGTCAAACTCATGTGCAATTTTCAGTGCTGTGCCGTTGAGTCCCACAGACTGCATGTTAGCGATGATGGTGACCACCACCCCCTTTGGGAGAGGAGTGGTCTGTCCTCGGTGCTCATCTTTCTCCTCACTGGGTAGCACCAGGAGGACACTGCTAGCCCCCACAGCGCCTCCTGTGTGTGAAACGTAGTGTCTGCGCTTCCTGCACTGGCTGTACTTCTGTAGTTTCTCCACTACCAGCCAGCCTTGAGCATACAATCCATCTTTGTCCCAGCTGGCCTCTGTCCTGTCAGCTGGTGCCCACAGATCTATAGCAGTATTAGGTTTGAGGAAGCCAGGGAGCAAGCCCTCAGTGTCTTTCAGGTGGGCCGCCTGGTAGCTGAAGAGCAGAGCGTTACCGAACAGCAGCAGGTCCCCCACGGTGGACAGGAAACCACCTCCTGCCCACTTGTAGGAGTTGTCTACGTACGGGCAGTTCACAACACGTCCTCTCTTGTTGAGATGATAATATCTGTGGAGCAGCATCAAAGATTTACATGGACTTATTGTTCAATTTTTATCATGTTGTACAACCTTTAATAATAAAAATCTCTACAAAGTGGTACTCTGATACATCACCCCTAAACTCAACTGGGACTCTTCACAATATTTTGGACAATACTTGACAGTGATGTTGTTAAAGATTACCTGGAGCGGTGGTAAATAATAGGGTCATTCTCATCGGGAACAGTGTTGAGCATTCCCAGCTCACGGAACATGTTCATCATAACGTCAAGGAAGTGCTTTCCAGCAGCGCGCTCCATAGCAGCACTAAGCAGGGTGAAGGCATGGGTGGAGTACAGGAAAGTGGTGCCTGTACATAACAAACAAATTAACTAGTTAATCTTTCCTATGTACAGACATATGGTAAAACCGTAAATCATATTTAAGTTGTTTAAAAAAGAAATACAGTATGTGCTTTACCAGGTTTGAAAATGAGTGGGTCATCCTTGAAGAGGTCCAAGGCGTGAGTGACGTCTTCAAAGTTGTCCTTTAAGTAGTATTCCTCGTGTTCAAACTCTTTTTTCTTCTGAGCCTTAGTGGCTTCTTTGCCTTTGTTTTCTTGTTCAGTTGCACGTTTATCATTGTTTTCTGATGTGCTCTTCTCATCCTCTTTCTTTTCTGCCTTCAACAGACGCTTTGCTTTCTCCCTGTCCTCCCTCACTTTCTTAGCATCCTTCTCATAATGCCGGATACCACTCAGGTGGGACAGAATCATTCGAGGGGTTATTGTGACCTAAAATAAATGATGTGCATGTGAGCTGAATAGCACAATATTATTGAGGATAACAACAACATCTGACATATTTTTCACTTAACTTACATCCTCTCCATCAAATTGTTTCTGGGGGAATTCTGGGACATATTTCTGGACAGGGACATCAAGCTCCAGTTTCCCCTCCTCACAGAGCCGTGCAGCAGCTGCAGAGGTGAGGGGTTTACTGATGCTGGCGATTCGCATCACTGTTCCTGGGCCGCATGGCACACGATTCTCCAAATCAGAATAACCGATCCCTGAATTACGTGAGGAATTTAAATTCAATGTCATTGTGTTTTCAGATAAAGTTGTTGAAGATTCAATTTGGTGCAATTTTAAACCGTTTGATGTAAAAAAAAAAAACACTAATACTTAATTTTGAGACATTTCATTTGAAATGATTTTTCTGGCTTGAGTTAAAACAGAATGCCACCTAAGTTGAGAACAGGAGATAACTCATTGAGTTCCAAGGCAAACAGAGCTAAGGCTTAAAGGTTTTTGTTTTTCAGTAATTGATTTGTCTCTCATATTTGTACCTGTTTGAGATAACGGTGATCGATCTTCTATATAAACATTTGAATAAAAATGCAGCATTTTTATGTTGAAAAAGGTTTTGAATAGCTTCCATGTTCTTGACCAAGAGTCTCCAAATTCATATCACATGTAACTAGCTTCCATGCCATGTGACTCGTTTACTACAGCATTGTAGTACTACATTGGATATGTAGGACCTCTCTTTATTGGATTCAGTCCAACTTTTATTTTAGATGATACAAATATATATAATTAAGTGGAAGCACTAAAATCCAATAAAAAGAGGTGTGTCCTACTTGTCCAGTGTGGCACTACAATGCTCTATTGATTTGCAGTCATTGGGTATTGTGACATGAAATGTATTGAAAATAAATCAAACATTTTAATAAAGAAATGACTGAATTGTCATAACAATGTTTATATCAAATAGCAATACTCTAAAATCCAATAAAAAGGGTGTTTGTATATCAAAGCCATAATATCTTGTATCTGGTGTTTGGGTCAAATGAAATGGTAGTTATTGAAAATAAATAAGATTTACACGATGGACTAAAAAAAAAAAAATGGTTGTGTCTTACACATCCAGTGAAATAAAAAATAATTCTTTTTTAATAATGTTATTCATGAAAAATAGAAGGTGCTACACCTGTCCAGTGTGATTAGACAATTCCTCAGTGATTGGGGATCACTGGTTTACATGACATGGAAGCTATTGGGAATACATTGAGTTTTCAATAAAGAAACTGATGAATTTTCCTAAGAATATTCCAATAAAGCAAAAACAGCACCAAAATCCAAAAATAGGTGTATCCTATTTGTCCAGTGAGATTGACTAAAACGCTGCTGGATCCGGAGCCACAGCCTGTTTAATTTATAACCTAAAAGCTACTTCACTTAACTTTAAAGTGTCAGACACCAACCTTCACTCCAGACATGAGCGCCATCTACAGAGACCCCCACCACCAGGCCTGGAGCCCCGACCTCATCCTGGGGGACAGACAGACAGAAACACTGAACAGAAGTCAGTGACACAGGAGGTCGCATAGGAGGAGAGTGCAAAATAGAGGATAGCAAGCAGCATTGGTGGGAGAAGGTCTTGTACAAGTGAAAGTCCTGCATTCAAAATGTTACTCAAGTAAAAGTACAAACATAGTAGAATCAAAATATACGTAAAGTACTAATTGGCCCATTTCAGAATAATATATCATATGTTTTGATTATTCATTTTCATTTTCAAACCTTTATTTAACCAGATTGGTCCCATTGAGATCATAGATCTCTTTTTCAAGGGAGACCTGCAAATTATAATTATTGATGCATGCAAGTGTTATCAACGCTGGTAAAGGTGCAGTTGTAATGACTTTGTATACTGCAGGGTAGCTTGTGAATTTACTCCAGGTGTAACTACAGTCTTACTTAAGTGTTGATTATATTTCACATCATTAATCCAAATCTGCAAAGTACATGTACTGTAGTGGAGTACAAGTACACTATTTACCTTGAATTGGTGTGGCAATAGTGGCACACAAAGCAGCACATTTTTTATTACTCAAGTAAACTGAACGTCTCTCAAAATGTTACTTTAGTACAGTACTTGAGTAAATGTCCATTGGTGTGTTTGCCTACCTCCATGCTTACCTTGATCCGCTCCACCAGGTCCCTGCTAACTTTTATGGCAGCGCTGTATCGATCAGTCCTCTGAGCCTCCTTCACTGTATCATCACAGGAACTGCTGGATGTGTCTGCGTTGTATTTCAACCCGACAGCTATAGCAATCCCCACACCGACCCCACATACCCAAATCCGGGACTTTGACCTGTATTTAAAAAACGCTGGATTTGCCTCTCCGCCATATCGTCTCTGTTGAATAAAAGCACTCAGTTTATCTGACTGATGCTGCTTGTAACGCGCTACGGCTCGCGGCGGAAATGCATTATACCCACGCGCTGTTATTAGGGAACATTTGGCACAAAAACGATTTGGTAAAAAGAGTCGTGACATCGCTGCTTCTTCTGCTTTCTGGTAGCAATATAACTGTCCGTTGTTGTTTTCTTTTTGTTGCATCTACGAGCCAGACCAAACGAATCAAATCACAATTCAGACCAAATCGAGCGAGGGAGGATTCATCGATTCACCCCATAACAAGAATGGACTTGACCATTTTAATTACACTTTTGTAAGTCTGGGAGTGTTCATTTTCACACGATACTGGATTTTAAAATGAAATTCAACTTCTTGTCAAACTCGTTATTGTATGAGTTAGTCAGTGTGGCGGTATTTGTCAAATGTGGATAGAGCATTCAGCTGTCTTTGTCTTATTTGATTTATTTCAAGAAATCCCAGTCAGTCATTGGCCTACAGAGAGCATACAGTCTGCAGAGTGAAAGACGAAGAATATAATTTGTTTTGCATATTTAAACACAGAGAGAGAGAGAGGAGAAAGGGAGGGGTTGAGCTTGGTGATACTGAAAGGAGCATTCTGGAAGTTAGGGAGGCCATATCAGGAAGTTCACCTGAGTTGAAGGTCATACTGTAGGTGCACATAGACTGAAACTAACAACATACATAGCAACACATCTTCTTAACAAGGAATTTCCCCAAGCTTAGCTAAGAAGTGTGAGAAGTAGTAAATATAGATAAACATTAGCAAATACGAATCACACAATGATATTATTAAAGTGAGTATAATATGTTTCTATTATAGTCAGTTATATTTTCCTATATTAGTTTAAATAGACTAGTTAGTTGGTTTTTAGTAAGTTGGTTGCAGAAATCTAAAATTACAAAGGTGTGTCTTAATTGTAATATTACATTTGAGGTGCTGGGTCCCAAAACGTGGAAATTATTGAAAAAATATCATGAATTTTTCATAAATATTTAGAAAAATAACAGACCAGGCGTTACAATGTAAACCAGTGACATTTTCTAACCAAATGTATCACTAGTAAGAAAACACAGAATACACCTCTTTATATTGGATTTTAGAGATTCTAATGTTTGCTATTATTTGTTTTTTTTTATTGTAGGCCTATCTGCAGTATTGTGCAGTAGTTTCTTAATGCTGATAGTGTTTTTGTTGTTGGTTAATGTACCTATTTCTCCCATTTTGTTGGGTTACTATGAACACCAAAGACCTTTCAGGGACAATAAAGCTACATTTATTTACATGATTGTATTGTCTTTTTTTCAATAAATTCCACGTCGTTTTACCCAGTGACTCAAATTTAATATAACATTGTTTCACTTTATTTGAAACAGAAGACTATGATTTTACTATTTTTACTCAACCAAAGGCAGTTATTTTCAACATTGCTACTGTACATGGTTTGGTTATTCTTAAACTGAAGTGATATTGCCCAGTGATGCTTAGTGAGCTCCAGTGAACCAAGGAGACACATGACCATGTGTTCCTCCAGCTGGAAGTCAAACTGAAAGGCCAGGCAAAAAGGGAGTCATGCGTAATGCAATCAGGCTGCAAAATGAACAGATCTCCATTTGTTCAGAACATTTAACGCATTCGACACCTCTTTGGGGGAAGATGAAGTCGCCTGAATACATTGCCTTTTCCTCTGCATGGATCAGGTTTTATTCAATCACCCCAAAAATGTATAAAGGCCTTCAATTTCGGTCATCACTATGATTGACAACAACACTATGTACTGTATGTATCACAAACAAAGTTAGAAAACTTTCAGAACGTGCTTTTATTAATTTTTATAATTTGTACATTTCAGATATGATAAACACTTGAGACATCAACACTAATAAAATGCACAACCAGTTGACTGAAATCATACTTTGGAGACAAGATGAAAAAATGTTGAACTATGGTTTAAAGAATAGGAATGTAATGCATTAGCATTTTCCGTCACTGCTAAACAATACTATAGCACCAGTATACAAGCTGACAGGTGTAGTCAGTGTATACTTACACTAGTGATAAAAGCTTCTTATAGGAAAGCATACATCTTTTAAACATAATTTGTCTTACAGAATTCAAAATGTGCATAATGTTGAGGTTTAACCAAGAGCAAAATCTCTCCACTTTGTCCTTTAGTATGTGCATAATCAAGGTGGAATGGAATGTACCAGATCAGCTTCAATGCAGGTGTTAAAAACAATGTTGCACATTTCATTTCACCACTTGTCAAAAAAAGAACTATCTCAAGGTTTGCAAAAGGCGGACACCATTACAAGATTAAAAACGTGTTGCTTGTGAAAACAATCTTGTTTCTCAGTTTAGGCTTCATCAAAGGGAATGGTTAAGCTTTACTTCCCCTGAGCTTCGCTTGTTGGTCGAGTTCCGCTGAAGGCAGGACGGTGCAATAGGAAAAGCATCTGGCTGTTTCATCTCCACCATGGCCAAGGTATGAGAAGAGGGGTTTATGGTGAAGCAAGGTGCAAGTACAAAAAGCCAAAACCACAGTGCTTTTGGGGTCAGACTGTGCTTTCACAAATTATTCAGTTCCATTAGAGTCTGGTCCAGCATCTGGTGCATACCGAGGTTCTCTTCTTTAGCTTGTGACAGTTTCTCTGTTAGAACATTAAAATGAAGAAGTTTTAATCTCACACAACAGACAAAAGTGAGTCAGTTTAAATTAATAATCAAGCTGGCTGCAACACAAGTAAACAAGCTCATACTATGAGGTGCAAGCCACCATGCAAACAGGTTACAACGATGTTATTAATAAACATACGCACAACAACAATCCATAAAATATGGTTATTGTGTAAGATTATAATACTAGCCTACAGCATTATATATTTGAGTTAATCCCTGATTATCATTTAATTTAAAAACACATTATGACGAACAGTAACACAGACTTCAAGCAGTGCAGGCATTGTGCTTGAACAGTGCAAACGGAAGAGCTTTGGATCTTGCTCTGGATCAGATTGTCAAACACACGTTAAACACAAAACATTCACACAATTTAGTCCTCATTTAAGGCCACACGTAGTTCATTAGTGAGCAGACGGTTTTTCTGAAGATTCTGGTGGAGGCGATCTTTGCAGTCAGAAAGCAAGTTGAAAAACAGAGAGAGGACAGTAAATCAGAGGAGGAGAGGGAAAGAGAAAATGCCTGTTGATACCTACCTTCTCTAGAACAGATCACCAGATACTTTTGTAAATCTTTATAAACACTTTGACAGTCTCTGAATAGCCTTTGAATGACTGAATCAAAGTGTTTTTATGCCCTTGTTTTTGAGGGGGGTTTGGCAATCCACCCTTTTTTCCCCTCTGCAGAAGGTAAAGCAAGGTGGGAGAGTGTGAAGAGTGAAAACGGAGGATGAGCAGATTTAACCCAGAAAGGTGAAAGGTTTAAATGGCATCTTAAAATGTTTTGTTCAAAGTAGATGGTATACTAAAAGGAACAACAAATTATAAATACTTATCTTCGTTAGCCAATTTGGTCACAACATTCCCTCACAAGTGAGTCAAAGGATGTGGCTTAACTATTCTGCAGTAGCATTTATATTATAACGTCTCCAAACAGACAACACCAAATCATTGCTCACTTCTGCTTTCCTGCTTTCCTGAAGAAATTGAAAGGACTTTAATAAAAAGACTCAATATGTGTTGTTGTATATTTATTTAAATATATGACAGGATACCGCGTTTCATACAAAACCAATGTCTCATGATCACTGATAGCATTTTCATTCAATCCAATTTCCGGCAACAAGTTGAGGCTCAACACATCTAACATACTGTTCTGTCCACTACTGTTATCCCTTTCCTCTACTTCAATACAATCTCCCTGATAATCCAATAATAATAATAACAATTCCCTACAATTCCCAACACTTTCCAGTCAGCTCCTTGTGTCACAGCGCTTAATGTGGAAGAACTTGCATGCATCAGACTGTAACACTAAGAGAGAAGACAACTTGGCTCAGCTTTTGCTCAAGTACCTTTAGTTCTAGCTTTCTGTGCTCATGGCACCACTGTGATATTCCTTTTATCTCAGGTCCACAGAACAATGTTTGAAGAAAATAAAAAGAGCAAGAATTAAGAAAAGCATGGGAAAGCCCAACAAATGGTGTGCTGAGATACAGAAACAGAATGAAAAACATAGACTTAAAATCAAGACTTCCTGGTTTTATTAGGACCACTTGAAAATAAATAAATGAAAAAGAAAAAAAAGAGGACAGAGTAAAGAGATACAGCTTACATAGAAGGAAGGACGTTTATTTTTTTTACACAATGCAGAAAGATTCTAGGATTCTGTACAAGTGATGGGATGCAATAAACTTTGACATGAGGATGAAAACATAAGGAAGAAAGGAAAGCAAAGACAGAAAGGGATGGGGGATAGAGAGATGGCTGGAGAGAGCAGACAGATGCCACTCAGCCGGCAGGAAGCGTCTTTGATGAGGTGTAAAACATTTATCTGTTTGGGAAGAGAAAAGGAACAGTGAACCAGGGGGCTGGAGAGGGAGCTACGGGACTCTGAGATGCACACTACAATATGTGTAGTCATGGCACTACACTACAAATTCACAATGGCAATACATTGTGAGGCAGCACACACTGACATACACAATCTAGAGGTCAGACCAACTCCTTCCTCTGATTACATCAAAACTTTTCTGCAAAATCACAAGGAGTGGGGGGCTTTGTCCATCTCCCACAGAATGGCCAAATATTCAAATATTTGAAATATATCTCATTTAGCAAGACTCAACTACAGTGATGCTAAACAGTGACACTCAAAGATCTCACAAACACACAGGAGGCCTTTCTTCTGGACAGAAGTAGACCATGTTAGCAGAAGAGGAAACAGGAAGCACTCAGGAGTTAGAATCAGAGTCATTGAAATATTTTCATAAGACAGATGAAAACATTTCAATAGGCAACTTGCATGCATTGCTTGTGTTGTCACCAAATGTTTATAGAACTAAAAAATGCATAGACTGACCAAAACAACAATGCATTACATTCCTTCAGTCCAGTTTACAGCATTTTCACACACCAAAGATACTGACACTAAGGGCATACAGTATCATCACAACCACACTACTAAAGAAGTGTGAGGGGGGAACCACTTTGAGTGAATTGAAATGATTTAAATCTGAATTCAATCACAGACACGGGATAGCACAATGTCTGTTTTAAGACAATAAGCATTAAGACTATATAAACCATAGCTTCATCACCATTTAAAGTGTAGAAACGGATGCAATGGGTAAATGTACCCATTGTTTTTAGTAAAAGAAAATGTAAGGGAGAAGATAAAAGGCAAGATAGCTGTTGGACAGGGAAGACGGGTGCAGGGAAAGAAAGCAAAAACAAACAGGCACAGCCAGTTGAAAATTACATGGAAGTCATGTCGTTGAGGGCGTGGTCCAGCTCCTCGCTGATGGCCTTGTACTTCAGTTTCTGGGCATACAACTCATCTATTGGTGGGCCAGGGGTGAAGGGAAGGGGCAAAGGTGAAGGAGCGTATGCCAAGGAGGTGAAGGGTGAAGCATCCAGAAAATTGACAAGAGAGAGAGGAAGAGGTGACAGAAAAAAAAACAGAAAACAGGGAAAGAGGAAACAAAGTTACACCAGAAAAATGATAGAATGGAAATGCAACAAAAGTATGGGAAAGGATTGCCATGAATAAATGGACCATATATTTCACTCTCTGCCTTCAGGCCTCGCTATGAGTTAACATTTCGGCCTGATCTCAGATAAACATCAAAGCCAATTTCCCTACCTTGAAACTAATAAACAAATACCCTACACCTACACTAATAGACAAAAGGATAAGAGTCAGAACAACAAAAGTATGATGCCGTCTTAAAAAGAGCCCTGATGGCATTAAGAGGGAAGCAGAAATAGAGTGAAAGACAAAGCATAACGTGGGCCTTTTATAGATTTTTTTAAACAAGCACTTAGCCTTTGTCAGCCAAAAAAACACCACTGAAACAATAACTGTTTCAAAACAACCAGAGTCGCATTTTCGGGGGAGGGGCGGAAAAATCATACCTTCCAAGTCATCAATGGTCTTCTCAAGCTTGGCTACTGATCTCTCAGCGAACTCAGCACGAGTCTCAGCCTGTGGGACAGAGAAAGATTTATGAGTGAGTCCAACACTCCAAGTGTGATAGAGCACATGTGACCTGCACACATTACTCTGGACTCCCAGATAAGGTCTTGTGAAACTTTACCTCCTTGAGTTTGTCGGTGAGGACCTTGATCTCCTCCTCGTATTTGTCCTCTTTCTGTGAGTACTGTGGGCCAAAAACAATGATAGGAGTCAAACTCTGAATGTCTAAGTGCATTCAGACACATTTAATACGTTCTAACAGATATGGATTATGATATAAAACTGAATTGAATGCTTTCTGCTCCCCAGGATCTTCTGCTCAGGGGTTTGACAGCATGCACTCGGCCAGACGGTCGCACTCACCTTCTCAGCCTGGGCCTCCAGTGACTTCAGGTTGTTGGTCACAGTTTTCAACTCTTCCTCAAGCTCAGAGCATTTGCTGTTGTTTTACGATGAGGGGATAAAGTTGCGAAGGAGAAGAGAGGGGGGTTGGAGGAGAAGAGAGGGGGGTTGGAGGAGAAGAGAGGGAAGTAAGGGTGGACAAAACCAGAGGTGGACACAAAACAGGTGGGAGGAAAGAAAGAAAGAAAGAAAGAGGGGGAGAGGAAACAAGATAAATAAGAACTACAGGGATTCAACTAGGAGGGATACCCAAGTACCTTAGGGTGCCTTAACACAGCAGGCATATCAGAATAACAATGAGTGTTGTATTTACTTGAAGATTAGTGGGTTACATTGAAATCAATAATTTGGTTAATGGTGTATCTAAACATCATGCTTCTATTAAATGTTATTCTTGCAGACTCTGCCATGTTATAGGTTTGAAATATTCTTATATTCCCAAAGCAAAAGAGCATACAAGAAAGAAAAGAAGAAGCACAGCAAGCAAAGCAGGAGTTCAGTCAGCAGTAGCTGGAAGTGGGAAGCCACTCATCAGAGACATTAGTGTAGGGTTAGTTTTTGTTTGTAGTACCTTAGTGACTGAGGAGTTTAGCGATTTCATGCTTTGTTCCATAACCCCTAGCTCATCATCCGCTGTCCGAGCCCGTCTGTTAGTGGGCGCGGCGTACGTGTGCAAGCCAAAACCATTCAAACCATGGAGAGCATGCAAATAATCAGCAAACACAGTGAGAACACAGGACACAAAGTTCAACTGGATACACGTCTGATACTGTGTGTATTAGAGCTTAAAGCTTAAATTGTGGAAATGCCAGTGCACGAGCGAGTGTAAGTGCAGATTAAGTGTGAAAAGTCTTACCTCTCATTCAGCTCAGCGCGCTCCTCTGTACGTTCCAGGTCTCCCTCAATGATGACCAGCTTACGGGCAACCTTTAGGTGCAGCACACAAAGTGTTACAACTCAACCAACATTTGATGACTGGGACACAACTGGGATGGGTTACGGGGTTTTTCTTCCAAGTGAAAGTATACCTCTCTAACAGACAAGAACTAAACACTTTACTTTAAATGTATCTGATAGAATAGCATTTTAGGTTGTATTTATGTAGGGTAATTGTCAACAATTATAACCCCTTCTATTAAGATGCATTTTATATTATTACAACTACTTGTGGTGGAGGGCCGCAAGTTAAAATACTACTACAGTTCTGTAAAAAATACTCACATTTCAAGTATTAACTAATCTCATAATCAATGACTTGTTTCCGCTCTAAATTGCATATGTATGTATTGATGTAGAAATATTAAGTAACCTAAAAATGAATATAATCAAGTAAAGTACCTTAAATATGTTATTAGGTACAGTACTTAGGTAAAAGTACTAAGTTACATTCTATTAATGATTAACAGTTTGTTAAATCATGTTTTCATTCATTATCAGATATACACCAGCCTCTAAATATGGGCGCCCACAGGAGTCATAGTTGTTGACAATTACATTAATATATTCTTATGTGTGCTTACAACTACATTTTAGTCTGCTATGGACAATTTATTAAAAAGTTTATTTAGCCTATTAATGCTAAAATAAAACAAAGTGTGCAGGAACCATATGATTGGTGATTTTGGATTGAAACTTAAACAATGTTTTCATAATTGGGTAAAAACGCTTCCTAATCTAACAATAAAAAGTGAAATAGAATTTAGGGATTAAGATATTATTTAACTCATATCTTGTAAAGTTTAAATAACTGTAATAGAAACAATGATTGCACTAAATGAGCATCAGTGTGTTTTGATGTTGCAGAAGTCTTTTAGGGTGGCCAACAGTGGCAGAAAACTTGCCTCCTCATATTTGCGGTCAGCCTCCTCAGCGATGTGCTTGGCCTCCTTGAGCTGGATCTCCTGCAGCTCCATCTTCTCCTCGTCCTTCATGGCCCTGTTCTCAATGACCTTCATGCCTCTGTGGGAGAGAACAGTCAAGGCATGTTAGGAGTCAGGAGAGGAAACCTGACTGCCTACAGTCTCCCTGAGGAGACGCATGTCTGGTGCACAGTAAAGCTGGTAGGTAAAGCTTTAACATAACATTCTAAGGCGAATGGCTTATTGTTTTCTGACACGAAAAAGGGGGAAAATATCTTGTTTTTGGGATGTTGGGAAATGACTGCATTATCTTACACGGTTAACAACTAGCTCTGCAGCACAGAGGCTCTGCTTGTACCCCAAACAAAGGGATGGAAACACCCCCCTTTCTCTGCACAACATAGAGAAACAGCAGAGATCAGAGGACTGAGTTTACGCTGGTCATAAGGACCCACCTCTCGCTCTCATCAGCAGCCTTCTCAGCCTCCTCCAGCTTGGTCAGGGCAGTAGCCAGACGCTCCTGAGCACGATCCAACTCTTCCTCCACCAGCTGGATACGTCTGTTAAGTGAAGCGACATCTGCCTCAGCCTAGGGGAAGAAGAAGAGCATGTAAGGAGAACTCTTGAAAGACGCACTCTTTAACAAACAACCTGGAAATCAGTGCACACATACACGCTGCCTAAAGAATAACAGCAGGTGGTGAATTTGAGTTTTTTTCTAAAAGGGTAGGGGTTGTTGAGTTGTTTGAAAGTGTTTCTGTTTGACACCTGTTGGGAGAAAAGCCGTCCCAGGAGTCTCACCTTTGCTCCTCATTGGCTTTGCATAATGATAACAATTTTCCCAAGCTGAAAGAAGGTTTAATACCCTGCCTCATTATTACAGGCCCCTGAGAGAACATTAACAAGGCTCAAGTCAAAAGGGAGACAATTAAAATTGTCAATGACTGCTCACATGGTGCACATACAGAGGAAACTCCCCCGACTTAGACACATTTACGTTTAATTTAACCGGTCACATATGCAACATTTGGTTAGATTATCTGGCATCTTTGGAGAAAGTAAACCTGTAGCTACTTCTGCTTAATGCTGAAGTAGGTCATAGTAATAGTAAGTATGCTGTTGGCAGGTAAGAGACTTGCACTGTCCTGCCTGTTTCGCCTGCTGTTCAAAGTGTGCACTGGTAGACCAAAGTGCAACTGAGTTTGTGAAGTAACAAGGAGGAAGTTACTCTTAACCTATAAATACTGAGGCAATGCTTTTAACTGCGTTTACAACTCCTCACTGTTGATTAACATAAATTAGAGAGAGTTTCAGACTACTATAAGCCCCTAAACATAGATGTATTTACCGTCAAGATAACAGCAGCTACCTAAACACGGAGGGAAATCACTATTTGGTAGCCGTGTAAACATATTGTCCTTATATGGACACGTCAAAGAGCACAAGCTCACACTGCACACTGGTACCTTAAATCTACAGTTTAATTTGAACTTCCTGTTTTCTGAAAATAGCTCATTCAAATGTTTAACCTGCGGTTGGCGTGCCTGCAGAATAATGCAACCGGAAGTCACTGGAAAGCAGGTTGAATGGGACCGTTAACAGCAAAGTGCATCACAGGAGATGTAAGAAGGAATATAAAGGCAACACTGTGATACTGTGGGCCACTGTTGTTCAGCTGCTTTGACCTGGGCATCGGCGGCCTAACGTTACCAATTATAAACGCTTAGCCCGGAGCAGCAGGCTATCCAACCCTCAGTGAGTCTACTCTGGTGGCACTGCATGCAAGCCATGTAAAGCTCAGCTGCAGCACCACTCACTGCTGTGTATCAACAGAAATCCCGCTATCTCACTGCGTAAAATACAAGAAAATACTACGAGAGGAAGATGGGTAATTTAACGTTTGATTAGCAGCTCCTATATGGCTGCACGCTTTAAATATGCTTACTTGTCCCTTGGTTTTCCTCTCCACAAGCAACTCCTTCTGTAATCTCTCGGCTTTTTCTTCAGCATTGTCTGCCTGACCTTGCAAATATTTGATCTTTCGTTTCACCGCCTCCAACGATATAGTTCCGGCCATTGTTTATTAAAAGAGACTACACTAATAAGCTACAGCACAATTTCCGAGAAATTGTCAAGGAGCGAGATGACGTCCTTGATGGTGCTGCTGAGCTGCGTGAAGCTGCACCGTGCGTGAGCTTTCTGGAGACGCACACTGAAATGCATTTGTCCAGGAAGTACTGCTGATTTCAAAATAGTTCTAAAAAATATCTATTCTTCATTTTTAAGGAAAGCTTTACATAGTTAAATGTTGCTGCATCATCCCATTCAAAAATTAAAATGTCATACTTAATTGATGTAAAGTAACAACAATGCATTTTTAACGAGTGGAACACACCCGGTCAATGCACTGATAATCAGGCGAACAGAGCCGCAGCGCCCTCTGCGGGTCAGCTGTGAGCATTACACATGGTAGTGCAACACTACAGGCCATTTATTTATTCTTCACTGAATACAGTAATTACAGGCTACGTTTTAGACTTTGAAAAATATCACAGTAAACCCTCCTGGAATATGAAAGGAGAAAAAACAAGATCATACAAAACTAAGTAGTAGTTAAACTCCTTTGAGCACTACAGCCATACTTAAACCTCCCTATAGGAATATTTAGGGGGAAAAAACTCCATATATAAAGCTATATGGAATAAAATACAGGACCAAGTGTGACAGACTGAAATCACTACACTGTCAAGTAGTCACACTCGCCGGAGGAATCCAATTAAAGGATTAGTTCAACGGGTTATCCTGGATCCCACAGAACAGATTGATTCCTTGATTGACTTGTACTTATGCAGTCACACTGACTCGGTCGTTCAAGCGATTGTTTAACATGAACAACAAGTTTACAATGATCTAAAGTGTATGTTCTCCTAAGCAGGTCACAACATCAACAATGTCAACATTTAAGTTATTTCCTTTAATATCCTGTGATTTGTCCAAAAGTGGAAACTATTTTAGACGTATTATTTATTTAGGTTTTCTGTTGGTAAGTTATTGTGTTCTTAAAATGCGTACGCTTCCCAGGGCGATTTGATTGGAAACAGTGTTTTCCCCCTGTGGTAAGCAAAGAGCACAGCCACAGATGTGAGCTCTATCTTGACCATATAAAGCAGTGGGCTATATTTATCCACGCGCCTGCTCTGAGGAAGACGAGACGCACAGGCTCCTTCACTGAAAAACACTTAGCCTACTCAGCGTAATTACCTTTAAGACTGAAAACCTTGGCCGGAATACAAATGATGATTACACAATACATGTTATGCCTGAGTACTTAGCCTATTAGTTAATTGTATTTAAAACAAATAATGAGTTTTTAACTTTAACAGCCATTCTGACTTTCTTTGGGCAGACGTGTAAGTGATTGTTCAAGTGATGAGTGAACATCAAGCGAGAGTTCAACAATAATTTAGACAAAATATCAAAAGTCCACTTGGTGTTATAGTTTGAGTGGTCACAGATAAGATACTTTATTTCTCGATGGTGTTGAACTTTCGCTTGCCACACTCAGAAATGAAGGTGTGAAGAAGCGTGGTGCAGGAATGGTGCCATTGTGAACTCCTTTTTACTTACATCTGTGGCTTTCTTCTCAGCCAGCTCAAGTTTTTCCTGAGCGTCTTTAAGAGCCTCGGAGTACTTGTCCAACTCATCCTCAGTTCCCTTCAGTTTCTTCTGCAGAGCTACCAAGTCGTCCTCAAGCTGAGGCGAGTTTCAGTGCAGATAGTTTCAGAGGTGATCAGCGAGGAGGTGCGTGAACGCGCACGGGCGCAGGAGTGCGTACAGAGAGACAGAGAGACAAACAGACAGACAGACAGACAGGAGAGGACAGGACAGGGGAAAGAGAGCAGAAAAGTTAGGGAAGCTCATGCACGTCAGGGTCTTATACCTTGGTGGCCACTTCCTCAGCAGTCAGCAGCTTTTCCTCAGCAGTTTGGAACTCCTCAAACACTTTATCTCTTTCGTCCTCAGAAATGCGCAATTTCTTTTCCAACTCTCTTATATCGTCCTCTAACTATACATGCATATAAAAACACAATACAATACAAATAAAATATCAATTAAACATGCGATTATTCAATTCATTATCAAACAATTCTTGAACACAAATGTCTCATTAATTAATTTTAAAAAAATCGACTATAAACATTCTTTCGATTTAAATCCTCAAAAAGTTTAAAATTAAGTGTTAAAATCCGCAATAATCAAGAAAGATGTTATTATTAAATTGAGATTATCCATTAAAAGTAATTAATCCGTATTTAGTTGGCGGTCCATTTAAAGGGCAGTAGCTTTACGCTGATGTATTCCTGCTTTTTCTAAGAGTTTTTGAGTTTTCCATATAAGAAAAAAAAAAAATCAGCCGACCTGTTTGCTTCTGTCCTCCGCCGCCTTCTTATCTCCCTCAGCCTGCTCAGCTCTGTCCAAGGCATTCTCCTTGTCGAGCTTGAGCATCTGCATCTTCTTCTTGATGGCATCCATGGCTGCTTTTTGCTGTTCGGCACCAACAAATCCGAATGAAAATCAAGAAGAGTGGGAGAGTGGCTAGAGCGTCTGTGCCTAACTGAACACTGAGCTGGAGTACAGGCTATGCCTGACTGTGCCCTGTCAAATATGTATGGGAAAGGGAGGGGTGACTGGATTCTTTTGGACATCCACTACTTTTTTGGTGTGGGCGTGTGTGGGTGCCCAGGCGTTTTTGAAGGCTCCACTTTGCGATTCGTTGCTCCCAAACATTTGACTTTTGATACGCCTTTATATGGGGTGTGATGGACAAGCAGGCAGCTCACACTGAAAGGCTTCTTAATGGTAATGCCACAGAAGCCATTAAATCCATGGAGAGATGCAGATGAGGCTCACTGGATGAGCATGTTGATCTGCATTACACTTGTATACAATGTGTTTTACCACTGGGGCAACACATTTAAAAGCAATACATATCTCTTTATTGAGACTCGTTTTAATTGGTTTAACTTACAGTATTATTGAAATCTGGGACATGTTTACTTTTTATGTAAATTATCTTTCCTGGTTTTATAACAACAGTATTCTCCTGTTAATTTGTGTCTTATTTAGTCCTGTCACAGGCTGGGAGTGGGACCACAGACAGCTGCAATAACAGGCTTTTTTCATCTTGCAGCCACTGGTGTCTGTGTGTGAGTGCTTGGCTTGTTAGGTGGGCATGTGTTCCTCTGGGATAGGTTTTAGTAGCTCAAGGCAAGTGTGCTGTTTGAGACGAGATGCTTTCATTAAGCCCAGGGAGCCCATGGCATTGTTCACAGTCTGGGGGGCTTAAGACAGGGAAGTGTTTACCTGATAATGTAACGGATATCCCTCCCTGTAATCTGTTGATGTGCCCTTGAGTGAGACAGCACAGCGTCCAGCTCCAGCCAGGCGAGATGGGTTTATGGGCATACCTCAATTACAGCAACTCAACCACTAATTGACTTGGCATTTGAGTGCTGTTAATTGCGTTCTAAAGTAACAAGGAAGACAATTTCACTTTATATGCAATACATTTAGTAGAGGCTTTAAATCAGAACGTTTATAAATGTCATCTTCCTGAGAGACATTTCTTTATTCTGTTATGATAACGTATCATGTAAAAGTGAGTTTTTATCCAATAAAAACAATATATAAATACACCAGGCTAGTGAAACGCTTAGACGCACAACTGCTGTGACTGAGGACAGACCAAGTTTCTTCTGGTCTTCACAAGGAGCCTCAAGGATATTTTTAGGATCGCCTTCTCTTACATGCACCTGCCTTCGTCAGTAATATGGATCTCTGACTCTGTGCCAAAAGTCCAAGGTCCAGTGCTATAAGATATGTCCCCTAAAATATACTTGTCTTGCTCAGGCTTTGGTAATTTTTACATATTTTAATTGCTATATAACTGCCAGACTTTAACAATAAAATATGACTAATATCAGGAAGTGTGGTTACTTTGTTGTCGCCTATGGGAGAAAAGCGTCTTGTAAAAGGGTTTATATGTATTTATCATTTTCCTATAATTTAAGACATTGTCCTGGCATCAGCCTTTTCTTTCAATGACAGGCTCAGGAATAGAAAGCGGGCCAGTCCATGTTCTTACAGGTTGGTATTTGTATAGTTTTGATTGGCAATAAAAAAGTCTGATCAAGATCACAGATCAAACCCATTTCTGCTTTTCTCTTAGTCTTCTCTTACTCTCTTTAAAATATGTTGTCTTAGACATATCGTTTTGTTTACGCTATTATCATATTGAATATCTTCCTAATGTATTTCTTCAAAATGTTCTCACTAGCTGTTGACTGTAAGGCGCTATTTTTAATCTTGATTTGCAATTTGATCTTAATTACCTTACACAGCCTTTTCACTTAATGAACTCAGGGGAGGTCTGAGAGGGAACACTGGATTTGCTGTGGCATTCTGGGAATGAAAATAAGCTCCATTATAATGTTTCCTTTAACATACTGGCACAGTAAAAAATAGCCCAGGGCCCAATACGCTTGCTTTGATGAAAGTAGTCACAAATCACTCACTTCTGCCCTGTCGTATTGAAAAACTACTGCATACTGCGTTACATTGGGAAATTAAAGGCATCATTCTTCTTTTGACTGCACCAGTAATTAAAACTACAACGTTTTTTAACATGTACGTTTTCTAAAGCTTTCCACCAGAGCCCTTAATAATAATAATGTAATAATAGGGAACTTACTTCCATGAAAAAACGTGAACTGTAAACAAATAAATGCTTTCATTTAGGTCCTATTATCTTCAGAAGTCTCTGTTTGTGTTGAAAACAGTGATTGCATGAGCACATTGTAAATGCTAAGATTCTTCTCAATATTAATCCTCAGAGGAACATCATACAGTATATGTTTTGACTTTTACAGACACATTTCCTATTTTCTGCATAGAAATGATGTGTATTCCTGATCTATATATAACTGTTTTAGTTGTATACATGAGGCGACAGCTGAGTGAAACAGGTGCAGTAATGAGCAAATGTTATATTCAAACATGCTATCAATATCTTTATTTTCCTGCTATATGAGATTTTTTATGGCACCCATGATTATAAACAAGGTTGTAAAAAAATTAAATATATACTAGTGAAAAAACGAGTAAGTATAGATCTTAAGGGGGCACAAAAGGGGGTAAAAAGGGGGTGTTAAGGTGTCAAATAACCAGATTTCACATGGATATTCAGGGTATGGGATTCTGAGACTTAAGAGACCCTCGACTCTCAGTGTTTAAACTCTGTCCCTTTGTGGTCCTAAGGCGGTAGTGCAGTCTGTCCTCCTGCCAATGTATGTGACACAACAGCTTCTCAAAAGCTTTAATATAATACCATGATACATTAGTAGCTAATCTGTTTGACACTGACAAGCCACTATGTATGTGGTATGTCCGGTTCTCCTCTGTCACTGCTCAGGGAGGAGCTTGGCTGTTGTGCCTGAAACCATGTTTGTATAAGAGGACCCTCGGGAGAGACATTTAAGGTTCTCTCATGGCTAACTTGTTAATGCATTATAGAAAGTATGTTGTCTGTTAAGGCTCAGTCACAATTCTTTTCTGGAGCAAAAGTAGCAGATTTTGCAAGTAAAACAAATCTTATACTACTTGCTTTTTACCAAAATGATGTCATTGGGTGGACGGTATATATTTTTGACATATGTGTGGTTATTTTTAGATGATTGCAACTTAAACAGAACAACTTAAACAGAACAGAAAGGGAATATATTGAGGGAAGATGTCCCTCTATGTTGAGAGCACAGCCACCAGTTTAACTCGGAGAAGCAGTGCTGGCAGGCTCCTTGTTAAATACCATCGGAAGATTTCTGCAGACATCGTCCAGATATATATAGAGAGAACTCCTTCTTCTTGCAGACGGTACCCCTGGGATTAGATAGCTCCATGCACGGGCATAATTATTTAGCATAGCAAAACGGGAGAGAGGGGGTGCAACCCAAGCTGTAACCCAAGCCCAGTCCATGGCCTACTGCTGCTGGGTTTATCACAGTAAGGTTCCTCTGACATATACTGGTAGTCGTAAGACTCAAACTGGTATTTAAAGGAGCACAGGTGAACATCTTACCCCAACCAAAGCACAGAGACTTCCAGTGGGTTCTACTTGATGAATAGTTGCAATAAGGCTGTGACTAGCTCTACATGGTGGTTAATCTGTCATTAAGGGTGTAAATCAAACAAAAGTGTAATTCAGTCAGTTGTATTTCCATTGAAAATAGTTAAGTTAACAGAACCTCTGAGTGCAGTATAAGCAGTTTGCAATTCACATTTTTTTACCACACCACCGCTTAATAATTAGAGTCAAATTCCTGTGGTATGAAGGTCAAATATTTCAGCTACAGGTGCTCCATTGAAGATGGGTCACATTCTTCTTGTGCCAAGATTTTTGTTACAGTACAACTAGCTCATGAAAATGAAAGGATGTGTCATCACTCAGACTTTGAAGAGATGTAATACAACTCCTACATGCCAGGAATAGAGAACACACTGTTAAGTATTATATTGTTCCTCAGAGAATCCAAATGATTTCTTCCATAGATGCATTGGACAACATTTGCAAATACTTATTGAGGGAAACAAATATGATGTAAAAATACCAACAGGCTTCCAGCATTACAAACACCAATGTGGGTAGAAGTCATAATGGATGAATATGTGTGGCCTCAGCAAGGCTCCTCCCAGACTGTTTGTTTGTGTTCCCCCTCTTAGGATGGGGACTCACAGAGAAGAAGAATGTCCGCCATATCTGATGCTCAGTCGCACTGCAAGAGGGAGGAGAGAAAGCATTCGGGGGGAACTGTCACGATTCATTTCAGACTAATGTGGGATGCCAGAACCCTTGAGTAAAATTAAATACTCCGAAAAACCAGACATGTTATAGCATGAACAGAACTGGAACGGAAAAGTCAATCTGTCTGGCATTCTGCAATACAAATCTGCCTTCAATTTGAGAAAACAACACTTTTTGCACATCCGTAGTGTTTATTTGTACACAGTACCCTGCAAGAGGGAAATGGGATAATGATTGTTTACAGGCAGCTTGAGCTTCTCCCTCTTCCAGATAAGAGACTCCTTCCACAGCATCCACAGAGCTGTGTCCTCAAACATGTTTTCTTCAGGGTCAGAGGCTGTTAAAGATCTTTTGAGTCCATTGCTTTGTGCTTGTTAATATCCTCTTACAGCAAACACAAATGTTGCTTTCTCTTTTGTATCTCAGTCAACAGCAGCCCAGCATCTTGTTGATGGCCCTCGTTAAATATTTTCCTTCAATCTTTGCCCCTCATGACACAGGGCTAGAAGTTTCCGTGTTTGCGCACAGAGGGAGAATCTTTCATATATGTGTCCATATATGGGCTCTGTGGTGTAAGCGAGGTAGAGGAGACAGAGGAGAGGGCTAAGTTGCGGGGGCTTTTTGTGAGGTCCAAAGACGCACTCGATATTTCTTTCCATTCCACAGGGCTATAAAACTTCTTGGTATGCACTTCGAGCTCAGCCACTGTTCTCCCTGTTACAGTCCTGCCTGTCCGAGCCCAAGCACAACAAAATGAAACAATGGCAGAGGAGGAGGATGCTGGACTTCTATGGTAGCAATTTTCAGCATTT